TACAAACAAAGGCACGACAAAGTAGCAACAATGGTGCATTGGAAGATCTGCAAGAAATACCATTTGCCTGCAAGCAGGAACTGGCGGGACCCCAAAACAGACAAAGTCATAGAAAATGAAGAAGCTAAAGTGCTCTAGGACTTTAGCATCCAAACAATCCAGCACCTGCCACACAATACCCCAGACTTAACCGTTGTTGATAAGAAAGACGAAAAAGTCTGGACAGTAGACATTGCAATACCTGGAGACAGCAGAAGAGAAGAGAAAGAACTGGAGACAATCACAAAAGACAGACCTGCAAATAGAAGTAGAACGACTGTGGCAAAAGAAAGCAAAGATAATACCAGTAGTCACAGGCGCCTTAGGTGCAATCCCAAAACATCTGGAGCACCCCTTGAAGACCATCGGCATTTGTCATTGCAAAAGGCAGCTTTGCTTGGAACAGCTTCCATCCTGCAGTGATACCTTGAACCCCATCAAACATCTGCCTATCCCAAGTCCTTGGGAAGAACTCGATAGGTGGACAAAAATGCCAAACCCAATCTAAACATCTGGCTGACTGTGCAACCAACCATAATACTATCACCCCAAACAGCTTCCAACATCCCTTCCTTAGCCCATCTGTTCTCCTGGTTTAATTTCTTCCTCCTTTCCTAGCTCCTCTGAAATCTGAGCTTCAACAGCCACCTTGTTTCATGAGTTCTTGTGACACCATGTTTTTTAAGGAACTCTGGAGAAAACAGAACATTAAACTCCCCGGGGCATTTAATATTTGCCCCCCATTTACTCTGGACAACTTCTGAGGTTTTTAATTGCAGACCCTGGATGAGACCAGCTACGAACTCTTACCAAAGGATCCTTAAAATACATTAATCTTCTATCATCCATGGTGAACCAGCGTTTTTTGAAGCCTTCTGTTTGCTAAGAGGGGAAAAAATGGAAAAGAACAATTCAATACCTAAACCGGTGACTGTTGATAAGTATAAAAGATAAGGTAGATTTTTTTCTTTTTCTTCTTAGCTTGTCCTTTTAATTTTTTTAAATTTCCTTTCTAAGATTAAAGATTGTCTTGTCAATTGTACATGTATAAACTAAGTATTTTTTAAAAAAAGGAAAAGAAAAACTCAGCACTTGTATTGCTTATTTGAAACTTCTTCAGACCGTATAAAGAAGCAAGGTGAGGGTTAAGCTCCTGCGGAGCCATAGTTTGCTAAAATAAGAGTTTATTAAAGATGCCACAATTGGCTGGATTCCCAGATTACAGAAAGCCTAAACTATGGCTTGTTGGTGTATGTGTGTTCAGGCAACAAACTGAACTAGACCCAAACAAAACAAATTATGGCTTTGCACAAACAGGAACTCATTAAGTGTGATATATTTGTTAAAGATTTGGACCTGGGTTCAAGTCCCAGCTATGAGTAAAAATTATTCTTCCAGTTTATCTACCTCAAAAAATGCAGAATACAATGCTGGACACAGAATCCAGACCCCTAAAAGCAGCCATGTCCCTATTTTTTTTTTTAAAAAAAATACAAGTTTCTAGTCCCTATCACGAAGTTTTGGAAGCGTGTGCTTGCATCAGTCCTGACCACCAGGAGAATGTTCTGCAGGTGCTTTTCTACCCTGAAAGAAGCAGAAATGTTGAATATTGGAAAATAAGCACAGATTTTTGCCTTCGCTCTTTTTTGAATCCCTGCCACACTCTGATATTTTAATTTCCCTTGGGGGACCAAGAAAGGGGAGGGGGGAAGCAAAACATCTTGCAAAAACAATGCATAAATTAGATTATGCTGATTGTATTAAATCGTTTGCAACAACAGTGCCAATCCACAGAAACCTTTTCAACTCCTCTCCCCCCTCTTTTTTTTTCTTTCGAAAGACAGCTCCAGTTAAAATCTGGTGCAAACCTGAGGCTTGTTTTAATTTGTATCTAATGAATTGGTTAAGCACAGAGACGGACAGCTTGATTAAAGCTCTCTTGGCTCGCAGCAACACGAAAATAATTAATTTCTTGGTTAACCTTAATTAGGAGAGAGAGTGCGACACATCAAGAAGTGAGAAAAGCTTGCCTGTCTGCCCCCAGAAGCTGACTGAAGAGCAGAGAACCCAGATGACATTTTAATCTGGGACCAGGAAAACCCAGGTCCCAATCCCAATTATTCTGCTGGATCAACCCTGCAAGGTTGTTGTGCAGTTCAAAAGAAGGGGAGGAAAACCATAAATGTCATCCCTAGCCTTTTGGAAGAATATACAGGTTATAATAATAAATGCAGGCACACTCTTGCCCGCACTTGCTCATCCATCAGCACGTTTATCATATAATTCCATTTTGAATTTGGAAAGCACAATATTTATAGCTGTAACCTTGCTCAAGGGCGATGAGCATATCCAAAGCCATTTTAGTCAGCCAAATTCCCAAATACCTAGTACTTTCATCCTGCTATTATGGGATGATCTATTAGGAGATATTCAGCTGTCCGTCGAACATAGAAATAACTTGGTCGTTTGGGGAAGCTACCCGTCGTCAGCCCCCATGTCAAGAGAAAAATCTACCAATGTCCTATTTTTGGGCTCACGATGTATACTAAATATCGGCTTTCTAGAGCCAGCTAAAGTTCCTGATCAAATTCCCTTTGAATATAATGAGATACCTATTTTAGACATTCAGTAATCAGGGTTTCCCAGCCAAGCACACAAGCACAATGGAAATATTTCAACCATTTCTTTGTAGTTTACAACATAACACGCTGTGGAGTAGAACTGGCAGAAACATTTGAAGGAAGGAAATAACCAACCCCAAAATATAGTCAAAAGCACCATGATTCAAGCACGTCATATTAGACAGGATCAGAATGTATAGGTCACTATTTCTTTCCCCACCCCAACATTTCTCAGCAATACTATCCATTAGAGTTGTTTTCGGTCTAAAAGATTTATACTCGTCTCACCTTTGGCCCGGTTTTCTCCATGTAGCCTTCTTTCAGATAATTCCTCGAAAGTTTTGGCACCAGCTAGAATATTCAAAAGATAAAAGAGGGTGGGGATCGGGTGATAGAAATAATTGACCAGGTCAGTGCAGAAATTAAGCAGCAGGGAGAATAAAATCAGATGAGCTATGCATCAATTGTTGCAGCAAGAGGATGGGGATAAAAAAGGAAAGATCACTGTAGATTGCACATTTGGTATAAACGAAGGCACATTAGATCAGTGTTTCTCAACCTTGGGCACTTTAAGAGGTGTGGCTGGCTGGGGAATTCTGGGCGTTGAAGTCCACACCTCTTAAAGTGGCCAAGGTTGAGAAACACTGCATTAGATCATTGGGCGCTTGCACTAAATTCCATTTTATTTGATGCTCATCAGTGCTTTTCCCACCAGTGTTGAGCACAGAAGTGGCCCAAAGCACGCCTCTTTAATGCCTACCCCAATTCCTTTTTTAAGGATTTCTGGAAATATTGGTGATGGTAGTGGTTCTCAAACACGGGGGTCTCAGGACCCCTTTACATTCTTAAAAACAATTGAAAACCCCAAAGAGTTTGGTTTACGGGGGTTATATCTATCCATCTTTACTGTATTAGACATTAAAATTGAGAAATGTTAAAATATTTACTGATTTGACTTTGCAGGCCCCCTGAAAGGGTCTCAGGGGCCCCCAGGGGACCCCAGACCACCCTTTGAGAGCCACTGATCTATGGGCTGAAATTTTGCACACTTATTTCACATTTAGAAAGGAAGGAAGTTCTTTTATAGCAAGCCCGATGATTGGACCACGTTCCCCAACCTAGGTGCGCCCTCCTGGCGTGTGCACTTCCATTCCCAGAATTCCTCCGGTGGCCTGGCCATTGCTGAGAATTCTGGGAGTTGGAGTCCACACACCCGGAAGTTGCCAAGTTTGAGAAACACTTTTATAAACCATTCAAGGGGAAAAGAAGAAAGCAGAAACCCTGGGCTCACATCAATGTCGCTGGCTCCAGGGAACGCCACTTGCAAGTAGTGGAATCGCGCTGCACGGATGGCGTTGAACCAGTCCACCATTTCCTGAACAGCAAGAAAAGGGTTGTGTAAATAAATGTGTACAAAGGCACACTTCAGTGGCGTGCTCTGTGCTCCTTCCTGCAGCTGCCTGGGGTTGGCTTTTAAAAGCAGCTCTTCCCAGTATCCCTAGATCTCCTTCCCCAGGCTTCAACTGAGTTTCCACTTTCAATATTATTCTAGGCAGGTTGAGTTCATTCAATGGCAGTTCGTCTGCATTCCCCTTGCTAAATGGGTTTAAAAGCAGTAGCCGTTTATCGCCAATGGCAGTTGCTGATTTTAGATTGGCAAATTTTCATTTCATCTCTCATTTCTGGGTATCTGCAAGCCATCTCATGCACGATAGTTAAAAGAAAAAGATGGAGTATCGATTAAAATAATTGTAGTAGTGGTCATTATTAAAACCTATATACAGCCATACAGCTAGCTAGACACACACACACACACACACACACAGAACTATATAACCCACAATATTTTAGCTGTCATCTCAAAGCATTTCAGTTCAGTGAAAAGCCCATAAATGCAGCACCAGGACATTTAGACTCAATAGAGCAACTAAGACACATTCTCCAGAGTGCTGTGTATCCTGCAATTAAGACATGGACAGTAATGTCAGGCAACTTGCAAAGATGATGCCCCAACTCAGAAGAAACTAAATGCAGCAGAAATCAAAACTGCAACTGGTTAACAACTCTGCTAGAAGTGAAATCTTGTGAATTTAGTTTTCTCTTGAATGTGCTGGTGGGAACCAGGGCTGAGCGAGGCTCTTCCACAGGTTTCCTGTGTTTCAGAAACTACGAAGCTTAAATAGTGTTTTGCACACTACCTTCCCGAACAGATGATGTCTCAATCTGCTGCAGGAAACCCTGCTGGGTGGAGTGTCTTAGTGTGTCTGTGTCATCTGTGGTAGGGCCAAGCCACACCAGGATCGAGAGGTTGTAGACAACGAGGACACCCACAGCAAATTACTTTGTGGAGGATTTCTTCCTGTCTGGTTAATCTCAAGGGGTGACACTATTCTGGTTGAGAATCCTATGTCTACAAGTGGCTGTTTATCAACTGAAAACTATGACATGGGGTGGAAATGTGAGATTCCATAGCAATTGTCTTAAGTCATGGTCAAGGAATTCAAGATAAGGTTCTACCAGGAAGTAAAATAGTCAAAGTGGTAGGGAAAATACCCTGATTTCTTCCTAGTGCTGAATCAGGAACTGAAGTTGGTGCCAGGCAAAACTCTTGGAGGACCACGTCCCATAGCCAGGTGCCACTGCTAAAAGGAGTCTTTAACTGCTTAGGTGGTGGGAATATTTGGGGAGGCCCTTCAAAAGAGAACTTAACATGTAAGAGCAGAGAATCCTTCAGGTGCCCTTCTCCAAGGTCTTTGCAGGAGGGGTCAAAAAAAGTCAAGATGGTGGCTTCAAACCACATGATTGAAGACCCACCCCTTCTTCACACGGCCTCATGTGGCTTGTTGTTGTTTTAAATTTGTCGCTTTGGATTTTTATATTTGGAAGTCACTCCTGCAGCAGGGGGAGTTTGGGGAGTATATCAATGAAATAAATAGATCAAATGAAGCTATAAAGCTAAAAGGAATTCTGTTGTATATAAAAAGCAAAGCAGTTGATTACAGTGTCAGCTTACTGGATGCCTATAAGCAGCAGTTCACTATCCCCACCCCATAATAAAATGTGACACAATCTTTTTGCAGCTCAACTAAACCCTGAATCTCAGGAACAAAAGACTTGGTTCTCTCCTGAACTGTCGCACAGACACAGCCAGGGAAAGGAAACGCAATTTTTCCCTTGGGATTTCAAGCCACATTTTTGAACTTTGGTTCAATCGATGGTAGGCTTCCACTACAATTTTTGGGGTGTTTCCTCCCTCAAAAATGGCAGCACCGCTAATTTTGGGCAACTGTAGTAAGAGAAGAGTCTGGGGGTTGGGAAAAAAAGAAGCTTGGGAGTCATATGTCTAGAGCAGTGTTTCTCAATCTTGGCAACTTTAAGCTGTGTGGACTTCAACTCCCAGATTCTGAAGTCCACCTGGCTTAAAGTTGCTAAGGTTGAGAAACATGGTTTAGAGAGTGGAGGAGGGGTAGGCTTGCATGTAAAAATGTAGCCCTCAGCCAACCTTGGACTGATTAGGTTCACTTGGTTCAATCAGCAGGCACATGGAGCAAAAATCTGCAGCCAAGGTCAATTCAGAAGAGGTGGTGTGGATAGGAGAAAAGAGCAATCTAACTGATCAAGATTTAGAAGAGTTTGGTCGCCAACGACTGCCAAGATATTTTATGGCTCAACGAGCAGCAGAAAGCTTAGCACGAGGGTAGGATTCAGCAGCCAGCTGGTACACAGAGTTCCACCATCCAGAAGAGAAAGCAAAGACCAGAATCCATCACCTGGAAGTTGTATGGGCTTTTGGAAGCTCTGAGAAGATATGGCAAGAAGATATGGCACAATGCAGCTTCTCCGCGTTGATTAGAATCTGCCCTCTAGCAATCTGAGCCAACGTGTCCAACAGCTACACTGGCTGAGAATTTGAGGAGGGTCTCTTACAGCCCATGGAGAGGGTGCCAGGTTGGGGAAATGTCCCAGCAGTTGGCAGCATTCCAATGACCTTGCCTGATTTTCCAAAAGCTAAGCAGGTTTGGGCCTGGTTAGCACATGGACCAGTGATCACTAGGATGTTCTAGGGCTGTAAAATAGAGTGGGAAGTTGAAAGTAATCCCAGAAGAAATCTATAACAAATCATAGGGTGGCCAAGCTTCTACATGGAGTCACGTTGGGAGTTCTGAAAGCCTGAACTAGATGACTCTACATGACTCTGCATGAAAACCTGAACTAGATGACCCTTAGAGGAAGCTTCTCTTGTGCAAAGTTGACTAGTCCTCTGCCTTTAAATCTCGCCTGGCAAGTCTTAGTTAAAGAAACAGGTGCCTCCTCTGAAAATATTTGCAACCCACAGGATCAGTTCCCTTGGGACTGTTCTCTACTGCTTACGACACACTCTTTCTGGAGCTGGAGATTTTCTGCTAAGCTCTGCTTAAACCTGGTTTTATGCAGTGACAGTATGAGGGGGAAAAAACCAGGGTATTTGCAGGAAGGAGAAAATGCTCTTCTGAGAGGGGAGAGCTGTAAGACAGTTTGAGACAGAAATAATAGTGTGTTTCAAATTAATTTCAAGAGATTTATGGAGGGGAAGAAGGCAAAGGGAAGGACAACAAGGGGTGGCCAATTGCCTTCTTGGCCACTATCTGGAGTCACCCCTGGTACCACCACAGGTGGGGAGGGATGCCCAAAGACACACACACTCTTCTGCTGCTCCCTTCATCAACATGCAAACCAACCCTAAGAGCTGCTTCCTTTCTTACTTCAGGGCCCCCACCTTGCCATCTTCATGGTATACAAAGATATTCCTTGTGCTGTTGTCTTTCAAATAGGTGATCTGCAGCCCATGGGGGTTTCCAATTTTCTCCGGCTGGAAGGTGGCATTGAGATGCTCAATTTTCATAACTGCTTTGGGTTCTTTCGCCTGGCAAGGAAAACCACCACAACACATCACCACAACCCCAATGTTTGAGGGCTACACCATATCTGGCAGACAGCGAACTTTCTGCTGGAAAATGGACTTCCAGAAATTTGCTAAGCCATCTAGGAATGACCACATTTGTAGGGTCTGCTGGAAAGATCCTGGAATGCTCCACTAATGCTCCATGTTGCATAGGAATACTAGTTAAGCACACTGTAGGAGAAGAGCCACATTCATAGCCAAAACTCAGATATAACCAAGTTAATTAAAAAGCACAAGTTTTATTGAGCTACGAAAGCTTATGTCTTTTTAAAAAATGTGTGTCTGAAAAAAGTGCTACTCTTTCTGTTAGGTGCTCATAACTCATCCTAATTATTAATTAATATCTTAATTAAGCTAAATCGCCTTAACAGTAACATGGTTTCATGGGTCACACAGCTCAACCGGATTCTTCAAGGAATCCTTTCCTTGGGATTGTGCATGCACCAAAACCTTAAACTAACCAATTGGCCCAGATTCACTCAATATCCTGTCACAAGGTCTAACCCAGGTTATCACTAACCAAGCTTTGCCTGTGGTATGAATACCTCCCAGGCTTACAGTTGACCTGGTTCAGCTCGTGGGACAAACACAGACACTTCCTTTGTTTTTCTGGAGTCCCATCAGGAAAGGCAACGAGAATGACCCAGCTTGTGTAGAACTTGCTAAGAACTGGCCCGAGCTGGATCAGGCCCCTCAGCAACCCCAAAGAAAACTGGGAGGAAGAATTTGTAACCCGTCAGGACATAAGGCAAGATTGATTTTAAAAGTATTTTAAACGTACGGCACATTCCATAAACACAGGAGAAATTTGGGAGATCAGCAAGATGGATCCTCCAGAGCAGTGTTTCTCAACCTTGGCCACTTTAAGATGGGTGGACTTCCACCCCCAGAATTCCCCAGCCAGCATGAGTGAGTTGGTTGTCTTTTGACTGGCAATTGACCTCGGCGATGCAAAGAGTCTTTTGAAATTTCCAAATAAAGTTCATTAAAAAAAAAAACATTCAGATGGAACAGAGTGAATTCTCACTTCCTCAAACACAATGTCCTTTTGACTCCAGAGTTGCGTCAACCCCTGCCTGCCATTTGTTCTGGGTACAGATCTCCAGATGGTCCAGAAGCAACACATGAAATCCCAATCCTCACTTCTTTGCCAATCAAAGGAAGCAGCTGAGTCATACCAATGAAGAGATGATGCAGCAGTTGGCCATTTTGAAAGGTTAGGAACCGTCAGGACCTTGGACAGCACCAACCATGCTGGCTGGGGAATTCTGGGAGTTGAAGTCCACATATCTTAAAGTTGCCAAGTTTGAGAAACACTGGGCTAGACCATTCCTTATAGATGGCGATCTGTCAGAGATGCTCTAGTACAGTGTTTTTCAAACTTGGCCACCTTACGACGTATGGACTTCAAGTCCCAGAATTCCCCAGCCCTGGGGAATTCTGGGAGTTGAAGTCCACATATCTTAAAGTTGCCAAGTTTGAGAAACACTGGGCTAGACCATTCCTTATAGATGGCGATCTGTCAGAGATGCTCTAGTACAGTGTTTTTCAAACTTGGCAGCATGCTGGCTGGGGAATTCTGGGACTTGAAGTCCATACGTCGTAAGGTGGCCAAGTTTGAAAAACACTGCTCTAGTGGATCCCGCGTGGAGCAGGCAGTTGAACTAGAAATTCTGTGATTCGCAAAGAGTGCTGTGGCCCCAGCAAAGCTCTGCACTCAAAGGAGAACCTGGCTATTGCTTCATTTTCACTAGACACTGACTGTGGTACATCTTTGGCTGAGTTCACCAGACGTGCTAAACATAAAACCAGTTAATGCAGCAAAAGACAATGTTTCCCTTTATATAATGTGCTAAGCCCAGCTAAATCCACCATGCTTTGGAAGAAAATGATGGCCTGGTTCACACAATGCCCTACCATAAGGACTGAGTTCCCACCACAAACAAGACTACAACTTACCCAGCCCCCTTCAGCCTAACCCAGTATGCTGGGAACTCCAGCCTCCCAGACATACAACCTTGAGAGAAAAACAATATTCTTCTCCTATCTGGAATGGCGGTCCTCTCCCACCAAGTGTGCAGCTTGGGGAGGGAGCATGGAGTGGCAAAATGGATCAGTTGATTGGGTTCCGGTAACCCAACTGATGGTGTGGAGTGATTTAAGCTGCGTGGGATTGGCTGTGTTTTGAATTAAATTTAACCTCCAGGGAGTTAGCTGATAAGGTCCGTTGACCTCTTTTTGGCGTTCCTTCAAGAGACTAACCTCTGAGCCATTAACTCAATTCTGCTGTGGGTACAGAGCTTGTGAGAACTTAGGGACAGAGTCTTACTGTCATGTCCTCCACAGAATATAATGCACCATATAAATAATAAAAATCTACAAATGAGAGAGGAGGCAGGTTCTCCTAACTTTCCTTGCATGGCTCGTTCTTCAAAAGAGGGGCTACCCAAGCACCACCACCACCACTCTTACATCATTTCTGTTGTAATACTTCAGGACACCTTCTCGTTCCGAAAGGACAAATTTCCTGCTCAGGAACTGCCCGTTGTCGCGGCCCCTCTTCCAAAGAAACCCTTCCCGATAGCCTATGGAGAAACAACAAGAAAAAGGAGTGTTTCCTTCTGAAAGCAGATGGCCATTTTTTAAAAGAAGGTGAAACCTGGATTATTACTTTGCATAGTGGTAGATCATCCATAATCTCCTTGTGGAGATATCAGGTCCAACGTCTGTGGGATGGGGGGCTCGGTGGTTGTTGGAAACACAGCCCCAGATTTATCCAGGGTTGTGCTTATGGAACAGAAGTTACGTAGAACATCAAGATGGATACAGTGCACTATGAGGAAACTATGAGGAAACTATTATTTGGAAGAAGTATTTTCAGCTGTTTATTTAATCTTGGGACAACCAGGTCCCATCTAATTAGCTAAGAATTCTCTGTGTGGCAAACGGACACCCACAGAACCATCTGCATTAAACAGTGGTTAAGAACATTTTTAGAGAATCCTGCATGAAAGAGACTCCCTCCTTGCCACCCTGTCCAATCAAATCCCAATCCCTCTAAAAGAAATACGACTTGCAACCACAATGTTGAAATAAATTCTGCTCCCCAGTTTCTGGTGTTCCAGAAAGTGGTAGCAAGACTTGAACGACCATGGGAAAACTCAACAAGATTGGAACAGCCCCATATCTGGAGAGGAGATCAGCAGGAAGGTCCAGAGTTAGACTGGAAAGTGAAAAAAGACATGTAGAAGGTAGGAATTGCAACTGCTTTCTGTATTGTTGTCAGGAAAGTGACCTAGATGGGTCCTTCCAGCCCCAGAAGACCAGCTGGTCTTGAGGTAGGCTATTTTAGGGTGGGGAAAAGGTCTCCAAAAATAAGAAGCACGATCACCAAACAATGCAGAAATACCCCTTGAATGTTTCATCTCCATTTTCTCCAGACCTGGAAGGTCACCAACGCTGGTCAGGCTGTTCTGAATTTGGAAAACTGTTGTTTTTGGATTCCATGGATTTGGATTCCCCCAATCCTTTTGCTTTTAACCATCTGTTCCCTTAAACACTTGTGAAGATACCCAGGAATCTGATGCTTTTCAAGTTCAGATCATCCCAAACCCAGGGTGGGGTTCATGGGATTGCATGACTCCACAAAATATTTCGGTGCCCAAGATGGGCAACACAGTTTTGCAAACTTGGATGCTAGCACAGTGTTTCTCAACCTTGGGAACTTTAAGATGTGTGGACTTCAATTTCCAGAATTCCCCCCCCCGCCCTGCCGGGTTGGGGGGACCGGGGGCTGGTAGTGAACACCCTTTTAAATCTCCCGAGGTAGGAAAAACGGTCTATGTTATTTGAAAGAA